GAGATTACCGAGATACCCGAGGTGAGTCTTTTCATTATACTTTACCTAGTGTGGTAACAGAGTTATGTGATAGAGTATTTTAGAGTTATATGCCAGTGTAATTGCATGTTATTGTGTTATGTGCTATGTATGATTCAGAGTTACAGAGTTAGGACCTTCAGGTCCACAGAGTTAGGACTTTTGGGTCCACAGAGTTAGGGCCAGAGGGCCCATTGAGAGTTGGCACTGGAGGGCCCCACTGAGACACATAGACCTGAGGGTCAACAGAGTTACAGCCTCGAGTGGCTATTATGTGTTAGAGCGATATTTTGGGGAAAACTCACTAAGCATTATGCTTACAGTGTTATGTGTTATGTGTTTCAGGTATCAGTGATGATTGTGGGAAGGCGTCGGCATGATTCGTACACACGCACATCGGAGTTTTTATATATACTTTGATCTTGGGTTTTGTACTAATACAATGTTGATACAATGTTTTATTTATGATTCAAATGATATTTTATGGGTTACAAAAGTGAAAAATCGTTCAAATTTTTACGGTGTTACATTTTAGCCTTAGGTATCTAAACGAAAGTCGTATATTATACTAAACCATGAACGTACATGAAAAGAACGTCAAAATCCGACTTCGGATGAGGAAGTTATGATTTTTCTAAGTTTCGGGATAGCAGTAGACAGCTAAAAACTCGAAATAGAAATCGAAGGATTTTTGGCCGAAACAATCTAAACGAGAATCGAAGATCTCGTCAATAGTAGCACAACGGTAAAAAGTCTGGCGAAAACGGACATCGGATGAAGAAGTTATGGATTTTTAACGGACGTTTCGTGTCTCGACCTGTTAAAAATAGATTATAAAAAATAAAGTCAAAACTAGCCGACGGAGACTAAATGAAAGTTATAGAGTACAGTCTCACCTATGCGTGGATATAAAGAACGCGAAAAACGAAGCTCGTACGCAAAAGTTACGTAACTTAGAAGTTGGAAAAATCAGATTACGCCCCGCGTACCAGAGGATAGGAGCCTCGTTCCATTGGCCAACAGGCTCTCCCATCGGACAGAAGCCCTCCCATTCGAAGTGCATAAGCAATGACGTCCGCAATGCCCTGCGTAGCCTCGTACGCCCAGCCCACCGAGGCGGTTCAGCCTCCTATATAAGGGGTGCGAGGGTTCCGGGCAAATTTGTTCATTTCTTCCCTTTCTCATGCTTTTGCTCTGCGTTTAACCCCTCGAAGCCATCCCGACATCTCGGTTTTCATATCCAAGTTCGGAAGGAAGTTTTACGCTCCCGAGATTATCGATATTCCCAAGAATCCTGAGAAATCAGCTTTCTCCAGACGAAGTTATGCTCGGTTTTTGTGTCACCTTCTTCAAACTACCAGGTGAGTTCATACCCCTACAACTACGTTTTCAAATGATTTTTAAATACTTTTATACACTTTTAGGGGGGGGGGGGATACAAGTAAACACACAGTTATCCTCGTGTGAAAAACATCAATCTTTTGCTATATTTTTTGTTATATAATCAATCATATGTGATTTATAACTATCATACGGAAACGTTCTCATGCAACATATCACGACAACACCCTGTCCTTTTCGAATAAGACATGTTGTTATATATCAAGCACTTTATTTATATATTGAGTATAAATGTTTAATAATGTTATTACAAATGTTATACTTTACATACAGAGTCGACACTACACTAGGGTTTACCATACAAACGAAACACTTTTGGAAAAACTATAATAGGTATAGTTTACAAAGAAATCATGAGATTTTACATACTATAAGTACTATATCAAGGAAATACTTTCATATATAAGAAAAAATGAAATCTTCATACATAAATCTATTTGATACTAAGTTTTTTGAGTCATTCACCTTCACGTACTTTCAAGTATGCAGTTAAAGTTATGTATTATATACCATAATCTCTTGTAGGGAGAGCGTGATACTTGCGTATAGATCTAGACGGGAGCGAAAATCCCGCACTTAAATTGTTAGCTACAGTTAGATCGGCAGGTCTGGGGTGACAAACGTCATAACATTCCAACGTCTGAAGAATGTTGTTACAGGCAGTCTGGGTCATTAGCATGGTTATAGAACTCACATGGAGTATTAAAAACATGTTGATTTGCAGGGTTAGCAAATGCCTTAGTGATTTTATACAAACATAAATCTACTATTCTAGGAAAGAAAAACACTATGGCATTACAGTTTTGGAACTTTTAAACTACCACACACTTATGGAAAAATTTTGGATTTCTAGAAGCAAACATTCAAAACAGTCGGGTCTCGGTAGAAGACTACTTTTATACTAGTAGGAAATATGGGATTTTCTAGGAGTTTTCAAACATATACAAACATTTACATTGAACATCTACAAACATTTTCATTCAAACATATACAAATAATTCCATTCAAATTTATACAAACATTGACATTAAATACTTATGAACTCACCAACTAAATTGTTGACACTCTTTCAAAACTACTTGTATTTCTTAGGGATTCAGTAATACATGTAAACATTAGCTTTTGGAGAAGTGACGCTAAAGCGTTAGTTTAAAACTCATTTTGTCACCATATTGTAATTTGTTTTTAAACAAGGATCATTCAACAATGTAACTTTTCAATTATATATATAATGGTTGTTTTACTTTCTTTACTATGTATTTAACTGTTACGATACTACATGAAGTCGACCGCCCTCGAACGATTCTGCCGTTCTGGTTTGGGGTGTGACAAATTTCAGTTGTAAGTAGTATTGAAAAGCCTCAATTTTATACAATAGTGCAACACACTTAAAACTTGATTGTATTAACATCTATTCTTGTAATATATGCAGCTATAGCAAATGTTCTTGTATTCTCTGAGATTCTGAAGTGAATTTGAATGCAAACTAAAAGAGTAAGAATCACGATTGCACACTCAATTTTTTACAATAAATATTCACTCTTAATTTTCATTTCGTGCCGAAACGGTGGTAGTGGTTTTTATATCAACTGTTGCTCATGATTTTTGAGATAATGAAACAGTAGTTATATTTATGTATATATGTATACATGTATGTAGGTTTGTGTATCTGTCTGAGTATTTGTGTGTGTATTGTATGTATTTGTCTATTTGTGTGCTTATGTGGGTGAAAAGTCTTTTATTGGGAGGAAAATTTAATGATGAATTTGTTTTTTGTAAACTTGTTGGGACAACTTTTTCAAATCCACAATAAAAAGATTAATGGATGAGAGAATTCTTAGTGTGAAGATGACAACTTTTCCTTTTCTGTGCTTAAACATTGTTTTGTTCCTGGTTCCCTTATTTGCAGCTCTATACAACTTGTGATGGTTAAGGAACAAGTGTATTCAAGGGATTATATCTAAAGACCAAACCTCTAAGCTGTAAGAGAGCAACTCCAAGGGAATAGGAGCACCAAGGCAAAATAACGTCAAAACACAAAAGAAAAAAAGTAGTATAAAACCACCAGAAGAGACCTTAGCAAAAGACAACCAGCTAATAGGAGAAACAAACAAAAAGGTTAACACAATATATGTGTATATTTATGTTTGTAAGTGTGTAAATTTTTGTGTGTCTCTGGGTGTATACATGATTGTGTAGTTTTGTTAATCGAATGATTTGTTTTATGGTTTGATTGAAGGTTTGAAACGGAAATCTTGAACTCAAAGGTGGTTGTATTTGTCGCACTCGGATAAATAGATGTGGGTTCTTGAACTCAAAGGTGGTTGTATTTATCTGTATGTTTTTTTATTTAGTTAGTTTACCAACCTGACTCTAAACATTGCAGTGGCGCATGCATATTTTTCAATTTTCATTGTTATTTTATGCATCTTTTCTACTACAATATTCTAGGTCTAAGTCATAAACATTCTAGATTGAAAAGTGTCAACCCAAGGGAAGGGTAGTGTTCTAGCATTCGATTTTCTTTCGTAGTTTTTTGTTGACTCTTTGGAAATGTGTCTACAGAGGGTGATATCTATTAGTGTTCTTATTTAATGATTAAGCTTCAAAAACAAAAATAAAACAATATAAAAATAAAAAGTTTTTATTCTGAGATTATAAAATAAAATATACACATAAGCTATTAAAAACAAAGAAACTAAATTTATTTGTTATACGACAATTATAAATCCAATAATGGTCATATTTACCTTTCTAGAATTTTGAAGGATAATACCATTAGTTTTTCTATATATTTTACTAAGTTGTTAGATATTGTGGTTTTTAAAACGTTTAACAATTTATTGTGATATGTTAATCTATTTATATGTTAGCTGTTTATCATTTTTGTCAAAGGAGTTTTTAAAACGTGGCTTAACATATAGATTTTAGTTAATGATAACTTTCATAATTTTCTTATAAAACATGAAGGAAACAAATGACATTTTAATTCATTTGACAAATTTGCAAATAAACATAAAATATGAACAAAAAATGATTTTCATTGTATGCCAATAGAAACAACTTAAATATTTTTTTATTGTTAGTGAATTGCAAAGATACAAATAGGCACAAGCTTTATTTGTTTAAATAGTGGGAAAACTCCTGAATCACACACTTAATTGGTTTAATGATTCATTTGTGTGTTATTTGGAATATCACGTATTTCCATAATCACCATAAAGACTTCACCGCATTCCATAAAGAAGCGCATCATCTCATTCTTCTGTAAAGAAATAAATCGTCGGGAAAATAACTTGAGAGGGTAAGTTACTTTTTGAAATGTACATATTTCATCCTTATTCTTTTTTCTTTTTTTTTTTTGTAAATTAAGCTCTTATATTTTATTAATATGTACACAATAGATCCTTTTGACCGGCTTCTATCGGTTCTGCTGATGTGGAAGCACACGTGGCCCTAACAACAAATGCATAAAAATTAATTAGCTTAGTCACTCCTTATAAACGAATGTTAACATCTAAATTCAGGAAGCTTCAAAGTCGAACACATAGAAGTGGGGATTTCGTAGAAGAAGAAAGAAGATGTCAAGTGGCTCAAGAATCTCCACAGGTTCAAGCAATCAGAGAGTAGATAAGAACGTACTCTGTGATTGTGAACTCCCTTCAAGAATTCGTACCTCCAAGACCAAAGATAACCCTGGAAAGAAATTCCAAGTGTGCCCTAACTCATTGGTAAATACCTAAATTGATTTTATTTGTCAAATCGAATCAATTTGCTTCTTCTTTCCTGCTATGTTGTTGATTTTATTACTACAGAAACCAGGGAAAAAGTGTAAATTTTGGGAATGGATTGATGAAGAACCTAAGAATATGAAGGCCACTGCAGAAGATAGTCTTTCAGATTTTGCAGATTATCTTAAACAAGTTTTAGAGGATGTGACATCTGTTAGAGAAGAAGTGAAACAGTTAAAGGTTATGATTCAGATACTGATTCTGTTGGTCATTGTTAAGGTTATGTTTTGGGGTTGAAGATATGCTTCTGGTGGTTTTTATGGGATTTTGATGTAATAGACTTGTTGTGTAATTGTTGTTTATGTAATGGATGTTGATGTACTTTATGTTTATGTAATGGTTGTTGATGTACTTTATGTTTATGTAATGGTAAAGTTTAGTGTTATTATATATAGATGTTGATGAAATTAACTTAGTTAAATGGAGGTAAAACCAAGACAAAATTACAGGAAATATTCTTTTATAGAGAATTGGATGTAAATACAAATAAAAGTGGATGACAAAAGGCATCAATCCATTTAATAATTACAAAAGATAAGCCCACCAGCAGGGGTAATACAGTAATTTAGTTCAAAAGATTCGACAAGTACATCAAAAGTAAACAATTAGTAGGGGTCATATAGTAATTAAGTTCAAAAGATTACCCCACACTACATCAAAATATATATGTCACATGCATTACCCCACTACATCCAAACCTAATTACTCTAAGGTCACAGGTTTGTCTTGGCTGCATCCAGTTCCATCATTGACTTTAACATTTTTTTGAATACAAATTTCTGTGATTCTTTCTGAAAACTTTCTCACCCTACCAGCATCATTCAAAGGAACCTTCTTCATAGGACTTCTCTTCACAGGACCCTTCTTCACAAGAACCTTCTTCACAGGAGCCTTCTTCACATGACTTGGCCCTGCTGTGCTTGAATCTGGAGTTGAATGACTGGGACATGCTGTGGTTGGAGCTGGAGTTGGCTTATTTGGGCATGTGGCTTTGTTGTGGCCAGTTTGGTGGCAAATGGTACATCTTAGAGGAATGCCTGCCCTTGACACAGTATGCCTTGTGTGCCCACTTAGCTCTCTTTCTGCCTGATCTCTTTTCCTTTTGACATGGCCTGCCAGGTAACCTCCTCTTTAATGGAGGCAAAATAGTATGAAGTCCTTCAACATGTGGCCACTAAGAACTGTCATTGAGTGGATGGATGTTATACTCATAGCTACTAAGGAAAGAGGCTTTAGTATAGGAGTTGGATACAAAAGCCTCCACATCTAGGTTCAATGATGAAATTGCTGATATGGCATGTACACATGGAATGCCTGTGAGTTGCCAGATTCTGCATCCACATGCCCTCTGATTCAGATCAACAGCATACCTCTCATTTCCTAAGAACACTTCAAATTCTTTGTAGCCACTCACATAAGGTACCCAAAATCTGTCAATATACAAGAAGATAGTCAATTACCATTATAAAACCTATGTATAAATAATGAAATAGTTACTAGCCTTTGCAATTCTTTCAAATCCTCTATTTCCCTTCTGATACTTGGGCATATGTCCAAATCCCAACTCAAACCATTTTGCTTCTGCATCCATAACCTCTGCATTGCCCAACATCTTATGTCCTCCAACATTGTTATCAATGGTTTCCTTCTAGCATCAAGTACAGCAAAATTGAAGCTTTCAGAAACTCCATTCTCTACTGCATCACAATCCATACCCTCTCTAAAAAACGCCTTTGACCAACACCTTGGATCCCTTTCTATGAGATAGTCATAAGCCCTACTTTCCAAGGACTTAATCTCATTCATTGCTGCTTCCAACTTAGGTACAGTTATTGCATTCACAGCCCTCCAAAATGGTTTAAAGTATTGTTCTCCTTTAAATTTTTTGTGGAAATTAGCTAGAATATGTCTAGCACATAATCTATGCTCCACATCAGGAAGTCCTTCCTTCACAGCTTCAAATAATCCCTGATTCAAACAATAAAATGATTAGTTAATTAAATGACCAAAACAGTTAAAGTTAATTGAACAAAATAGAATGATTACCTTGTGGCCATCTGAGAGGATTGTAATGCCATGACCATTCCCCCCTCCAATGTCTTCCATCAGGTTGTCCAAAAACCATTTCCATGTCCTTTTGTTCTCAACATTGACTACTGCCCAAGATAAGGGATAGATGTTATTATTAGCATCTCTACCCACTACTGATAGGAGCTCCCCTCTACAAACACCCTTAAGAAAGCAACCATCAACCCCAATTACCTTTCTGCATCCATCTAACCACCCATCTACAACATCTTTAAAGCTAACATAAAACCTATCAAACACCACAGTATTATCAGGTTGTGGCTCCAAGAACACCTCAACATGTGAACCTGGATTAGCCCTTCTGATTTCAGCTGCATAATCCCATAATTTGGCATAATGTTCTTTCAAACTTCCCTCAACTTCAGACAATGCTAACTTTTTTGCATTCCTACACTGCCCAACACTCACATTAATGTTGTATCTCTTAGATACTAGTGCTTTCATTTTCCTCAAACTTAGTTTAGGACTCTCCAAAACATCATTCACAAATTGTTTTCCTATCCACTTATATGTTACAATTGAACCAAGTTTGAATGCCCTAGAACACTTGTGCTCTGTTATAAGAGACTTAATCTGAAAAGTGTGTTCCTCTTTCATCCAGGAAGCATACAATCTAAAAGGGCATGTGGGATGCTTTCCTTTACAACACCTAACTAGCAACCTAGTCTTGTCATTCTTTTCATACCACAGATCATAACCATTTACTACTGCATAGCAACTAAGAGAGTATTTAAGTTTAGCAGTAGTAGAGTATGTCATACCTAATCGAGGCTTCATCTGATTCCATTCTTGAGTATGATCATGTCTTGGGTAGATAGGTCGTATTGCATTATGATCTTCTTCAACCAAGTCATCATTCTGTATTAGACAAAGTTTGTTGAGGAATGGATCATTGAAATTTCTTTTGAGAGATATAACTTCATCGTCCTCTACATGTTGAGCTTTCAGACCATCTTCTAAAATGGAGTCGACATCATCAATAGAAAACAAATCTTCATCTTCAATTTCTGCTTCTTCCTCCTGAATCCAATCAAACAAAGGTTCATGATGATGATCCACATACACATCTAATCTCTTCTTTTCATTCATATCTTCAAGAAACTCGTTAAAATCGCAGTCATTCGTCTGAATAGCATGTAATCCCTCCGACAACCTCACTTCATGTGGACAGTAATACACATCGCTACATCTTCCGTTAGTAAGCTTTTCAAGAAAGGGGATGAAATCACCGAAGTTCATCTTCTTCACAACCTTCTGAGGTACCGAGGCTTTTACTCCATTAAAATAAATCAATGGGGTAGGTGTAAACAGCCCTTGATAGTGTACATCAACGATCGTATCCGCATCTTCTGCCATTGTTGATTGTAATTGTGAATCAAGAACTTTGAGGGATTATCGAGTGAGTGAATGGAGAAATGGCTTATTAGATGAGCCCTAATTGTCGTTTTATCCACGTATGATGACACATATTCAATTCATTCCAAGAAAATAAAATCAAAATGTTATATGACCGATATACCGGCTATACCAGGTCAAAAGGATTGAACAATTACAAAAAAATCGAATATAAGGGCTTAATTTACAAAAAAAAAAAAAAAAAAAAAAAAAAAAAAAGAATAAGGACGAAATATGTACATTTCAAAAATTAACTTACCCTCTCAAGTCATTTTCCCTAAATCGTCACTACAAAACTATTCATTGAAACGTATTTTTTGAAATGTCGTGTTATCGAAGGAAATCAGTTTCAAAAAAAAAAAATAGGGATAATGACTTGAAAGGGTAACGAACTTTCAATTTTTGTCACATTTAGTCACTAAACTTTTTTTCGTTATCTATTTGCCATTGAACTATTGAAACTGTTCACATTTTACCCTTATGACCGGCTGTTGCCGGTCATAAGGGTAAAATGTAAACAGTTTCAATAGTTCAATGGCAAATAGATAACGAAAAAAAGTTTAGTGACTAAATATGAACAAAATCAAAAGTTCATTTCCCTCTAAAAAGTTCAATGACTAAATGTGAACAAACTTCCTCTTGTATTATGTTTTACCAAATTATTTATTTTTGTTAAATTGTAGCAACATTTGTTGATGAAGAAATCTATGAAATAAAAAAAAACAAAAACAAAACCCTGAAAATATATTTTAAAAAAACAAAAAACCAAAACCGAAATAAAAAACCAATGGTTTGACATTTTCCAAAATAAAAAATCAAAATTTCCAATCTGATTTTGGTTTACAAAAAAAATGAACCATTCTCACTGATGTGAATTATGACCATTAGTTTGGCATGCGAAATTTGTGACATCCCATGAATATGTAGTTACAACATCGTGTGAACTCGTAATTCATAGTAAGGGGTTAGAGTATCATCGCATGAATACGTAGTTACAACATCGCCTGAAATCGTAATTCATCACCTACAGGTTATGGGCCTGCTGGTGTTTCCACTGGGTTGTCTAGAATAGTCCGTGGTCGCCATCTATACTCTGGTAGAGTACTACATCGCCACATTGTTGGTTAAGGTTATGGTATCTCCTTTCATCCTACATCACATATTCATCATCATCTATTTACCTAATTATCATCACATTTCTATCATCACCTATCTCTCATCATTTTATTTCATCACATTGCTGGTTTAGGTTATGCTTCCTAACTTCGACCCCAAGGTTTACTCTACTAAAGCTTCATATTCTCGGCTCTCTGGACCTAGAAGGGTCCAAATCTATCACACCAAAAAGCTCAAGATAGCTCTTCCTCTCACTCTACACACTCAAGCTCGCTAGGGTTCTCACTTATGGGAAATGTAGTCGCAATTGAAGGCCATAAGTGCCTTTAAATATGGCTCGGGCCCAAAGATTTAGGGTTTCTGCCAACAACGCGGAATCGTCGAGTCGCCTCACCGACTTATCGAGTCCATTCATTAATCCGAGTCATCAGTCGCGACCTTACTCGACGAGTTGAGGCGTCAACTCGTCGAGTCTCTCTTCTTAACTCAAAAGAAAAATACTTAAATTATGATATCTGAAAATCCGGATGTTACATTTTGTTTTTTCATTTCATAGATTTCTTCATCAACAAATGTTGCTACAATTAAACAAAAATAAATAATTTTGCTAAAACATAATACAATAGGAAGTTTGTTCACATTTAGTCATTGAACTTTTTAGAGGGAAACGAACTTTCGATTTTGTTCACATTTAGTCACTAAATTTTTTTTCGTTATCTATTTGTCACTAAACTATTGAAATTGTTCACATTTTACCCTTATGACCGGTAACAGCCGGTCATAAGGGTAAAATGTGAACAGTTTCAATAGTTCAATGGCAAATAGATAATGAAAAAAAATTTAGTGACTAAATGTGACAAACATCGAAAGTTCGTTACCTTTTCAAGTTATTATCCCAAAAAAATATTATATAACACCAAAAAAACCCATAGGCGTAAGAAAACTATCTCAAAAAACTAATTACCGACTACCGCAACTGCAAATCATAGGTCCCAAGGTTAAAGATTTTCGAAGATATGGTCAAACTGATATTTTTCTGCATTCAAGGTATTTGCACTCATTGACAATTATCGATGAGCTTGTGAAATTGTATATTTCAAATTATTTGTAGCTCCTTTTTTATAGCATTAGTTTTTTTTTTTCCAACATCCTCCTTTAACTCGTTGGTCTGTTTACTTAGTTTTGGTTAATTGACATTTTTTAACGAATTGTAATTTCCAATATACTAAATGTAACATATATTTAGATGACACAGTTTTTTTGAACGATTACATTTTAACATAAACAATGAATTATGAAATGTGGTTAATTATAGCACGAAATGATTTTTTATTTACTTAGTAATTAATCTTTAACAATTACGTTTATAAATTGTTGTATTAGTAAGAAAATGTATATTAATAAGTGACTAAATTTATTTGGGTTAACAATAATCAAATAAAAACACTTAGTGTTTTCAACGAAGAGGACATAGTGGTTCAAATATCATAGTAGTTTTGATTGATTTGACTTTAGACTTTTTTTGGTAGACTCACTTAATTGAAGCATCTATTTTTCATTAGGACATGATTATGTCATTCATTATTTTGTTGATTTCTTCTTCAAATATTTAAAATTTTTAGTTTTATCGAATTGATCAACAAAAAACCAATAATTAAAAATACATACATAAAAGATTTTCTCGTTATGTTTTTCAATCCTTAAAGAAACAAGAAAATGGTTTGGTAGCTAGCACATGAGTATAGTCCGTAGGTTTTTCACATTCATATATTTTTAGCACCTCCATTATCATATGTTGCAGTTCCGTTAAACATTTTTTTATCACTTATGTGCATGGGTATGACGACATTGCATATAAACTGTTCACATAATCTCCCATGCAAAGTGAAATCATTGAAACAAAAATATTCGCCGAAATAAAACTAATAGCTCCAATTCGGTTACATGGCCTAGAATTGTAAAGCAACTGGGTGTAGAAACTAATTTATGAAAAACTATTTGCACGCGTCGTTTGGTGCGGGTAAACGGCTATTATATATATATATATATATATATATATATATATATATATATATATATACTAATCCAATTCGACTCGATCAGTCTTTATTTAAACCCGACTGACAGTTCTTGAGTCTATTTGACAATGTTTATTTTACCATCTTCCTTTCCACAACCAACAAATATATATGTTAACCTCGTTCTAATCATGTCCACCAAAATATAAAAAATACATCAGTGTAACAGCTTAGGTGCAGGAGAAATGCATAGTACCCATAAATACGATATAAATATGTGACATATGGTAGTTGGGGTTGGTGGGATAAATGCACAGTAGCAACAACCATACGACTTATATTAACTCTTGAGTTTAATCCGCCCATCTTTTGTCATGCGGAAATCAGTTGATTTTTTTTTTTTTTGGAATAATTTATGATTTTCCCAAGCGAAATACATGCATTATAATAGGCTTTACGGAAAAAGATGTTAGTGTCTATAGTTGATGTATATTGTAGTACTAAACCAATCTTAGTTTTATTTTATGTTGGAGATATGATAGAATCAAGTATTGTATTACTAAACCAATGTTAGCTTTATTTTTATGTTGGAGATATGGTAGAATCAAGTAAGGTGTGAGCAAAAACTATTCTAAACCGAAAAAAAAAAACCAAATACACTGTATAACTTAAAACCGATAAATCAAAACCAAAACAAAAACTGATAGTGCGGTTTATAAATTTGTAAAAACCGAAAGTTTTCGGTGCGGTGGGCTTTTGATATGTACACCGAGCAAAAGAAAAGTTATTTAATGTGGTTAGGGAAGCTTCTGAAAGACTTGGCTCAGTTTTTTGCCCGATCGCTGCCAACTCTTTCAATGATCTTATTGATAATCTTGGAGTTGTTGATGTGCCTATGGTTGGTAAAAGGTTTACGAGAATTGATACTATGGGTGCTAAATTAAGCAAGCTTGACTGTTTTTTGGTTTTAGAAGAATTTTTTGAGGATTTTGAAAACTTGCAAGTTGTTGTCTTAGATAGAAAATGGTAGGACCACTGCCGTATATTGTTGCATTCTAATCTGTGATTATGCCCTTCCTCTTTTAAATTCTTCAACTCCTGGTTACATATGGAAGGTTTTTGATGATGTTATTGGAGCTGCTTTGGAATTTGTAGTTAACCCCGGTTGGAGTAAATATGTTTTATTTAAAAACAAATTGAAATTATTTAAATCCAAAATAAGGAGTTGGGCATTTGGCGTCCAAGTCTCAATCTGAAGGAGATCATAAATTCTCAGTAGTTGCGGCTGAAGGAGATCATAAGGATATTGATAATGGTATTTCCAATGATGATGTTATAGCAGAATGGTTAGGTATCCTAAGTGACATCGCCAAGTTAAAAAAAAAAAAATCAAGTCCTTGGACGTTGCTCAAAGAAAAAGTTACTTGGTTTGTAGAGAGGGGATGAGAACTCTCGTTTTTTTCCTGGTTTTTTAAAACAACGAAGACGACATAAGTTGATAAGAGGTGTTTATTTGGACGGGGAATGGATTGTTAAGCCTATTATAGTAAAAAAAAAATTATTATTATGCAGCCAAATTTCAACCGTTTCAGTGTATTCATATGGTTCGTAGAAGTCACGGATTCAGAAGTATTGATCCAGATGTAGCATCTTGTATCGATTCTATGTTTACAGATGAAGAAATCAAAAACGTGGTGTGGGATTGTTGTTTGGATCGTGCCCCAGGTCCAAATGGGTTCACTTTCACTTCATTAGACATTTATGGGGATTGTTGGGTAATGATGTTATAGTCTTTGTTCAAGAATTTTTTGCTAGACCTTATTTCCC